GGCGGCCGAGAGGGTGAGCGGGGAGCGGGGGAGGGCGGGGGAGGAGAGGGGCTCGCCGGCCGCAGTGCAGACCTGCCGAGGGGAGGCGGTTGACCACCCCCTGCACCGGCAGGCCGGCGCCGCGTGCCGAGCTGGGCACTGGGCATGTCTGGGAAAGCAGCAGCAGCAGCAGTAGCTTTTGGGTTGCTTTAGAAATCAGCATGAAGCTCCTCTCCAGGTGCCGAATCATGCAGGGCTGGAGACAGGAGGAGTGCTCATCAAGGTTATAGCTGACTTCTGCGAATAAAGCACAGGCACAGCTCTCCGTTTATAGCACAAGTGAGCTCAACTAGATTTGATTCATTCATCGGAATTAATGTAGCTGTGATTTACATAAAAAAATTTAAGGTATTAATCAAAAATTATATTTTATTTCATGCGTTGATCTGCACGAATAAGACCTGGAGCATCTGTCTTTATTTGGCATCAGGCTCCCAGAGCACCACCCAGACTCATGGTGCATTCATGAGCAAATCAATTATTTAAAGTCCTGATTGCGCAGCTAAAATCCCTGTTTGCTTGTGGCGCGGTAATCAGGTTATTGTTTCCAAAGCCTTGGTGAGCTCCTTACTGTATATGCAGTGGGGCTGTTGAAGTGCTGTGGGAGGCCTGGCATGCCCTCCTACGCTCTCCGAAAAGATGGCAAGTACAAATGCTAGGTTTTGCTTTTGGTTGCTAATCATTATTTTGCTTCTGCAGTTGATGATTTTGATACGCTGCTTAGCCGAACCCTGTTTTAATTTCACCATTCAATACGGTGTTGTAGCACTTCCTATATATGTAAAATCCACACTTTTTCTTTTGGTTTCCAAGATAGATAACAGTTATAAACGTAGCTTTGCTGCTGTACTGAGGGTCTTCTAAATGTTGTTGAGCTGGAGGGAGGAAACAAAGACGCAGGGCAGGCGTGCTGGCTGTGGTGTGTGCTATCGGGAGATCAACAAATGAACTGGGCTGTTTGCAGGATATACAGCTATCAAGTAATGGATAATATGCGTGTTGTGCCTCCCGAGCAGCATGTGCTCCTTTGCGGCACAGCACACGCGCCTGTGTTTGTGGCGCAGTTTAGCGTTGTCTTTGTTTTCTGTGCATGTGGTACAGCAGCCGTGGGGTTGGCGGCGGACTAGAAGAATCTCTGACTCTCCCCGCCCTGCCGCCCGTCGGCGCTGCCCAGTGTGTGTTGTAACGTTGTGCTTTCTCTGCTCTGGTTCCCGGTGTGCAGGTGACTGTGAATATGCCCCGCCCCTTCCTGTAGGTTTACCTGCTGCCTTAGCCCCTCCTCCTGACCTCGGTGCCCCTCCTCCTGACCTCGGTGCCCCTCCTCCTCCAGGCGCCTCCGAGCCCAGCAATGGTACTTGGAACCCCATGTGACACTGTTGTGTGTGTGTGTGCATCACCCACATCTCACACCACCTCTCTCTGGGACAGCCTTTCCCCGTCTCCTTCAGCACACCTGCTGCGCTCAGACCCCACCCCCTCTCTCTGTCTCTGTGCTGTGTCATCGTGCCCTCATGCTGCTGTGAAACTCTCTGTGCTCTTCGTGTGACAACACCCTCACCTCTCCACCACCCGCCCACTGAAAAGAGTCTTTCGAAGGACGAAAGAAATAGCGCAGATTTCTGTTTCTCCTTCGTCGTTTGTCATCTCCATCACCTTCATGCACGTCCAGACAAAATTAATGGTTGTCTGTCTTATGTGTACATGCATATGTTTAATTGTTTTTCACAAATGGGCACATTCCAGGTCAGATGCAAATTGGATAGGAAAACTGAGGACTAGGAACGTTCCCAGTGTGAATTTTGAAGAATGCAAACGTTAATGAACCCAATTGTGAGAGCTTATTGTGCATTTAAAACTGAACTGTCATCACTTTAGAAATGTCTCCTGCAGAGATTAGGTCCTTTATCTGTAGAGCAGGCAGATTTTCTACAACAGATGGGAGATCCATCTCAGTACTGCAGCCATGGTGACAACGTTCACTCTGAAAAGATGGCAGAAGTGCAGTGGTGTCCTTCTGGACAAAGGAGCTGGGCTGTGTCTGTGTCCGGAGCGCAGACCCCCCCTCCTCCTCCTCCTCTGGAGGGAACTCAGACAGACACAGAGGAGCGCTAAAAGGCAGCAGGGGCCTGTCTCCACCCTGAGCCTGCTCTCTGCCCAGGCTGGGGGCTCCAGAGCTAGCTGCCTGGGCTGAGCCCTCAGGCAACAAAAGGAATCACTGTTCTGGGGACATGATGGACACCGACTGAGGCCCTCTGGTCAAGCTGGAGGCCTCTGGTGGTCTGTGCTTCCTGGTGGCTCACCTTCCTAGTGGAGACGACAAAAGCCTCATTTGCCTGTTAGAGCTTCCTGCTAATGGAGGTCAGGGATTCTGGAACACTGATCCAGAGACCATACGGTCCTTCCCATCTTGTGTCACCAGCCCCGGGCACCGACAGAGGCTCTCACCGCACAGAAGAACACCCTTGTGTGTCTCAAGTTCAAGATCAATTCTGAGACAGAAGTCAGCCCCCGGAGAATTCACTTTAATCTCCAAGCTCATTCCCCCGCGGAGAAGGTCTTCCAGCCTTCAAATTAAACTCCCCCCTGCTCAAATGTCCTGTGAATTTTGTATTCCGGGATGTTGAAAGGAGGCAGGTGCCGAGCAAAGCCCCCGATGGCTTATTCCCTCTTGTGTTGAGCAGGAAAGGGAGGTGCTGCAGGCCAGGTTGTAGCTCTGCCGGTTAATTTTGTCTGGCTGCACCCCTTCCCTTCCCTGGATGTAAACTCTGCTTCATGCATCTCTCTGCAGCGACTGACAGTCTGTCAGCCTCCACCATGAACCTGCCAAAGCATTCGGAGCCGCCCATCAGTAAGCGCCTGTCATCCTCCTCCGCGACTATCACTCATTCTGCAGAGCGAGGCAAGTGAGCGAACTCCTGCGTGTCTGTCCGTCTGTCCCTGTGTCTGTCCCGTCTGTCTGCGCGCCCCTCGATGCTCCTGTGCCTCGGCGTGTTTGTTTGGCGTGTTCTTGCAGAAATGGGGGTTCGTGTTGTTCAGCCCCCAGAGTGCCTGGGATATTGAGATGCCGTGACGGGGCTGCTCTTGCCAGCTCCAGAAGGTGCCTGACCGAACTCACAACGTATCTGTTTCAGCGCCATCTGTGCCAGGCTGTGCCCCCGCCTGAAACTGGGGGAGGGGGGGACTGATATAGGTTCAGTTTAGGAGGTATCTGAAACTATGGCAGCCATTATGCACTATTTAGCCTTTGGCACCAGCTTCTCTCCACAAGCAGCGCATGTCCTGGAGGCAATCGAGTCGCATGTTAATGCGAATGTAATTTATTTTTGAACAGCGGCTGGAAGCATCTTTTTGGGGGAATAATAACTGCATGGTGAAGTAAAACAACGACTTATTTTCCCCCCAAAATTTGGGGGTAAATATTAGATTTAAAGGGGAGCTGTAAGTCCCAGTATCTCAGACTGCTTATTAAACCTCAGTAACAGTATAAATTCATTGAATTTGACAAATTTCATATGAAGCACAAAATTGTGAATTTGGTGGAAGTACCGTAACCCGAGAGCTCCCACAAATTGTGGCGTGAAGCAGCCCTTCCTGCTCACTAGTCACTGTAATGACTAATGTAATGTGATGCACCAGCAAATAAATACAGGTTGTGCTGCAGGCATTTCACTGCAGAACTGTTCCAACGTGGAGAGGATCTGGAGAGCGATATTTTTTTATTGGATTGAGAGGCGTATTAACAAGCCTGCTTTTCGACAGTGTCACAGGGCCGCTTAACATCAACGGATGCCTCGCTCTGAATCGCACAACATGGCGCCGCGCAGACCTGCAGATTTCCTCTCTTTTGTGATGTAAGGTGCAGGTTTAACAAGTTACGTGTGGGCATTTTAGTTCTGTTGTGGTCTGAAGTGCGCTCAGCGATGCCGATTCGTTCTCAGCCCCGACATGTACAAATGGCGTCGCAGTCCCCCCCCTTTAAAATCTCTCGGCTTCTTCCCACTGAAGCCGTGGATGCCTGCTCGATATGACAAGGCTGTTGCAAGTTTATTTCTGCTCCAGCGGCAGCCCCGCGTCTGCTTTCTCAAGCCAGTCCGGCCTGGGGGAGTTCGCGGTGGAGGGGCGGACGGGTTGGGGCGATCCGCGGGACAGCGGGGGCCGGGGGCCGGGGCAGGTTTGTCACAGCTCAATGCAGCAGGAGCTCTGTGGGACGGGTTGTCACTGGGATGTGGGCAGAGGGAAGTGAGTTTAAGAGCCTGTTAACCCGTGACGATAGTCCTTTAATGTCCTGTTGTCACCGATACCCCGGCGTGGATGAGGCGGCCGCGGAAGGTGCGGGCCTGCAACTCTCACGTTGATTTGAGTTTCGTGCAAGGACTGTCGACGAGGGGGGTGACACCAGGACACCTCCCGTGGCAGTTGCAGTGCTCTGTGGCTGCTTTTACATTTTGTGAGCGTCTCTCTCTCTCTCTCTTTCTCTTTCTCTCGGTGCGCTGCGGAGATGCGTTGCCATGGCAATGCGGGGTTGCAAGCGAGCGGACACACAGCACGTCACGCTGTCACGTGTCGACGCTTTAAAAAAAACGCGGGGGGGATGGGGTTCTGCCCGTGTGTGTCCGTCCGAACCGAGAGCCGGTGCGGGGTTGAAGCAGAAAACCATCGGACACGACAGGGGCCCGTGTGGAAGATATCCCCCCCCCCCCCTCCGTCTTGTGTTCTCCGTCACATCGTTTCCCGTTTAAGTCCCGTCATCCAAGTTCATTTCCGCCGGCCTGCTGGCAGGGGAGAAAGGGCAGTCCTGGCCTCAGTGTTCCCTCTTAGCAAGCCCAGGCTTTCGGTTCCTGTTCGGTTCCTGTTCTTTCCACCACCCTCCTTCATGCTGCATGTGTTCACGTGTTGTTGTTGTTGTTGTTTTGTTTTGTTTTCTGGCGGTTTGTCCTCTTGCTGTCCTCATCCATGCCCACCTCCGCGCCCTGGAGAACCCGCGGGTCAGCCCCTCGTCCCTCGCCGGGCCGAGCTCCGCCGCGAGCTCCCGGGTCACGGCTGTGCCTCGCGGGACAGGGGCCGGGCCGGGCCGGGCCGG